CGCCAACCTCTTGGGGAGCAGCTGAGCACTTGAGCATTCCCACCACCCAGAGTGGGCTGAATGGTGGCCCCGAAAGATGTGTCCCCACCCGGGATCTGTGACTGGGAGGAGAAGGAAGGGTCTTTGCGGGTGTGATTAGCTGAGGATCTGAAGATGAGGTCTTCCTGGATTATCCAGTGACAAGCGTCCTGAGAGGAAACAGAGCATAAGAAGCCAGGAGACAGAGGGACTGGAGTGATGTGGCCACAAGTCAAGGGGCACCTGCCGCTATCAAAGCTGATGGAGCTCTCGTACGGGCCCATTGCTGTAGAAAGACAAGGAAGGGTTTGCTTAAGGAAGGGAACTCACTTTGCGGGTTACCAGGGTGGGGAGGAAAGGGGCAGGAATAATTTCGGGCTAGTTGGGGGCCACACGCTGAGGTGGGTAAGGGGAGGGATGGTATGGAAAGAGTCTGTGATCACTATGATGACATTGGGGAAAGGAAGGACACCAAATTGTGCACATAAGATACAGACAACAGAGGCTAATACCAGTATATCCACAACACCGCATCACCATTACACCAAACACCAGGCTACAGAGAAACACATAAACATCTGAGAAGACCAGATGGGTGTCAGCGAATGGGAGTATACTCTAGACCAAGGATAGGTTCAGCTGAGGCTAATCTTGCACAGACACCAGTGATACAAAATACCCACAATCCTTACAGAAACAACAGAAGACAGGCACAGAGCAATCCCTCACAGACAGCCAGACACTGTGGGAGAGAGATCCAATGGATCTACCGTCTCAGGACCATAGCACTGGGGGACATCAGACTCAACTGGCACAACAAAATACATAAAACTCTTGTTCCACAACCTACATTGGTGAATAGCAACTGGGGTCTTAAAAGCTTCCAAGTGGCCATCTAAGATGCAGCTAATGGTCTCCTATCATCAGAAGTGAAGAAGAGAGCAAAAATCAAGGACATTTGGAAGCAATCAGCCCCCGGCCATGATGGCCCTTGAGACCAGAAGAACTAGATGGTGCCCAGCTACTAACATCAACCACCCAGGAAAGGATCAAATCTGGAGATCCTGGGTAGAGTGGGAGGGAAAACGTGGAACAAAATCCAAAAACACAGTAACGACCAGAATTACCGGTCAGATGGAGTCTTGTGAGACCCCCAATACTACAGTCCTGGGATACATTCTGGGCCTGGAATAAAACTCACTCCCAAGGGCTGGCTGTCAGCGCAATAGTAAACAAGATGTACACGCAGACCACTCAACCCAGGGTGATGTACCCACAAACTCCGTGGAGATACATTCCTTGGAGCAATTGACCATGGGGCACCAGAGAAAAAGAAAAGAATTTTATAAAAAATAAAAAGAAAGAAAGAAAAAATACCACAAAGTGGGAGCTTGGAGCCCATGCTGTGACCTAAATGTTCTTCTTCTCCTCTTTCGTTTTTAAGTAGGTTTTGATTTACAGAAACATTGCAAGAGGGCACAGAGAGGCTGGTATACTCTTCACAGAGCTTCTGAGGTTAACATAGCGCAGTGCCTAAGGCACTGACTGCTAACCAGAGGCTGGTGGTTCAAACCCACCAGCCACTTCTCAGAAGGAAGGTTGGGCAATCTACTTCCGTAGCGATACCACCTCAGAAACCCAAGGAGGGATCGCTATGAGTCGGGTTAGACTTGATGGCACATAACAACAACAACATTACTATGGGGCAATTATCAAGATTAGGAACTTAACATCGGCACAGTGCTACTAACTAAAGCAGCTGATATTTGAATCCACCAGTTTTTCTAGTAACTTTTGATCCAGGACACCATACTGCATGTGGAGGACTTAAACTGGAGCTAGAGCAAAGTCAGTCCAGAGATAACGATATGACTTTTTTTTTTTTTTTAAAGGGGAAGGCTATGGCATATGGTGTATTCTTAGACATGGAAGACCATCAAATGGGCTATGTTTCCATAGGAACAATGCTATAATTGGGAGTTATATTCTTGATTGAGGACTTTACTGCAAATAAACCATAGTCTGACAACCAACAGATATGGAAATAAAGAAAAGTTACAGCAAATCTCGATGTTAATTTAAAATAGTGAAATTTTGTTTCAATTCCTCTAAAATGAACTCAGTGCTTATACCAGGGGCCCAGAATCTTACTGTATGCCATATGCTCATCCAAGCGTTTGAGCTGTTTCCTCAGTTCAACCTTAAAACGACCCTAAGCAGAGCTCATTTATCACCCTTAGTTTACGGCTGAGAAAACGGAGATGCAGAAAATTAAATAACGTGCTCAAGGATGCACAGCTAGTAAGTGTTGGAATTGGTTTATCCCAGGAATGCAGGGCTGGTTTAATGCTCAAGAGTCCATCTATTCACTGTATGAACAAACTGGAAAAATAAAGAAAGAAAACCACATTGTCATGTTAATAAATGTAGAAAAAGCATTTGACAAAATTTGACATCTGTGTTAGGCCGGGTACTCTAGAGAAGTAAAACCAGTAAAAACACACACACACACAAACAAACCAATCTCACTGCCGTTGAGTTGATCAGACTCATAGCGACCCCTCCTTGGGTTTCTGAGGCGGTATCACTA